GGGGGGGGGGGGGGGGCTCCAAGCCCGCCGCTTTTACATCACATCATCAACGCCTGTCGCTAAACAAGCCGAATTTAAATTTACTGCAATGGGGAGCTGCAACACCGTACCTGCCGAGGCGTTAGTGGGCCCAAGCTCTTTACGGGGTGCGTGCCACGTGGGTGTTTGTTTTCCCCATTGAAATGCATCGGGGCAGACGCTTTGCATGTGGCGAATTAACATCGCCGCCTCAAGCATCTCATACGCTGTGGTCGGACGACCAAAACATGGTCTTCGGCAGCTTGCCCGAGTGGTTAAGGGGGTAGACTAGAAATCTACTGGGCTTTGCCCGCGTTGGTTCAAATCCAGCAGCTGTCGATGAGAAATTTCTTACTGGAATTGATAAGCTATGTGTCGGAGCAAGGGGGAACATGCGCTGTTCAGCTTGCCGTCTGTCTGATCTCGTTGCTTTCCGTGACGTGTTGTCCTTTAGCAATTCCACAGTAATTTTGGGCCAAGTTCTCCCCACCGAAAAGCAGTTGGAGAGAAACCTGGGCTTTCGTTGTTGCGCCAGAAGTTTCAGCTAGAATGGCCAGGCAACGCCTCTGGGGTCCTAAAGAAGTTGTTAAGATGTCCATTAACAACTCGGGCTCTTGCTTGAGGATCTATGCGGGTCCACGATATTTTCAAACGCGATATCATATCCTCTGCATACCGGGAATGGAAAATAGTTGCGTTGTCAGATATGATTCGTTCGGGGACTGTGAATGGTAAGAACCATTTTTGGAGTAATGCTTCCCAGAGTAAGGATGACATGAATGGTTGGGTAATGATGGAGATTTGCCAATATCGTGAGGCTATATCCAGAAGATTGAGGATGCAGCTCGGGTTCCGGCGAGGTCTTCTTATATGTCCATATACGTCTACCATGAGCATGCCTAAAGGTTCGGTAGCTCGGACATGTAGTGGAAGCCGTGACGGGAGCCGGACGTGTCGGGGCCTTCGTCCGTATACATTCCCAGCATGTCTTCATGCATTTTAGGCGAATAGTACGCGCCACTCAAAGATCGGTAGGCTTTTGTTGGAGCACATTTGGTGAGTGGAAGTGATCCATAGTGCTGTTCCGTAGGCCACGTGGGATGAAACACCTTTTTCCTTCCCAGTAGCATCCGTTGTGTTTCTCGAGTACACCTTGTATCCGAAGTTGTCTCCATTAGAGCATTCCTTGAGTGGGGAATATTTGTGAATCCGAGTGCTCGTGGGTAGTGTGGAGTACTATCGATTTATGGGCGATCTTGTGTCCGAGGAAATCGAGGCATAATCGGTAGAGGTAACTGTTTCCTTTTAGTAGAGTGGGATATAGTTACCGCAGATTCTGACTGGCTTGTCCGGATGGAATACTAACCGAGGCCGGAAAGCCCACGGCGAACTAGACGGAGTTATAATGGCTTGCTGGAGCATATCTTAGATTGCTTTGTCCCTGATTCCTTTGTTCTTGAAGACGTAAGGTTTCGTCACGATTGGTTTGGTGATCGTCATTACGGCTCGCTGGGGTCTTGAAATCCCAGGGCACGGTCGAGTTGTGGTAACCCGATAAATATGGGGGCGGGCAATTGTGGCGGGATGGGAACTTGTTGTCCATTCGCGTCACGAATATTCGGCGGTGGGATGCGGTCCTTAAATACTTGCAAGCCTGGTGTTAGCCTAACCAGGTTAATATCGCTCCCCGTGCCTAGTACCCCCAAGTCTGTCCGAATCAGCGGCAGGGGGGGGGGGCGAAAATACTCGAGGTCTTTCTCTGTGCAAATGACGTCATTTGCGATAGCCTTCACCATGTATGGAACACGGTATTTTAGGCCGGTTCGAGTAGTTGTTATGGCAGCGGGTATTTGCTGGCCTGAGGAGCTCGCTGGTGGTTGCTCCGGCGATCGGGTGTGGCGATCGGGTGTGGCGATCGGGTGTGGCGATCGGGCGTGGCGATCGGGCGTGGCGATCGGGCGTGGCGATCGGGTGTGGCGATCGGGTGAGTTATGAACCCAAGATATCTTCAGGGTGGCCGCTTTCTCTGTAGTGAGGTTGCTCGTGAACTAAAAGCTGTTGTCGCTTACGATTCTTTCGGTTCCGAAAATTGCAAATCATCATCGGTACAAAATATCCCACAAAATTACCAAATCCAACTCCAAATACAACTTACCAGTATCAAGATGCCACATATTTAAGATGTACATCAAATTATCTCATGTACATCAAATCGCCGTACCGAAGTCCCCGTTAACAGTTCCAATAAATTCATGACGGGTCCCTTTCTATGAATTACTTTCGCCTCGTGAATTACTCGCGTTCAACCCTTCTCACAAACATCCATTGAAACTCTTCATTTTTATTATAATTGATCATTCCAGCAGGAGTTGTCAGAGGACCCTCTTGCCGGCCACTTGCTGTCCTGTTTACTGAAAGCGCGATGTCAGGGTGCGCGACCGGGACCGCCTTCAGCAAAGTTATTTTTGGATGTGGTGAACCCTCCACACCTTGGCACCCCGTTCAGCTCTCGGATCACAACCAGCTCGCAGTGGCTGGTGGTATGTCAGTGGGCGAGGTCGGCCTTCAGTTGTCATGTCTCGCCCGCCGAAGCTTTTTGTCAAGTAGTTAGAGAGTCAGAAACCGCAGCAATGCAAGTTACCACAACCTACACCGAGGACTCTCCCCACGACGGAAGCAGCACCACGTCAGCAGCCGGCCAGAGACGTATGGGAGAACCCAAAGGTGGCGTGCGTCAAGTACGAGGCGCGTTTCGAGGCGAGCGGCAAGCCGTACAAAGCGAGGTGGAGACATCTCGAGCCTGAGTTGCGGGCCGAGTTGGAGAAGCAAGTGGAGAAGCAGCTGAAGCTCGGAGTCATCCGTCATTCGAAAAGCGAGTGGGCCGCGCGCCGCACTTCGTGAAG